TCATAATGTTTCCATAATGGCATATAATACACTTCAAGTCAGGAACTGTTTTTTTGGTTTTAATTGTTTGTCTCACAGTCTTACACATTTAAGACGCCTTCAACCTGCATGTTGTTCTGCTGTGAGTGAAGAACGATACTCAAAATTAAGTAGGTATTTCAAGCCGATGTCGGGTATGTATTTTAGTTTTCAGTGATTATTTTGATACAAATCCATTGTGTTGGCCTTAAGCACGGTAGTATAGAATAACATTTTCAATCCTGGTTTTGTGAAAGGTCACTTGTTATGACAAAATGATTAATCAGGATAAAAAATGACAAAATAAGGAAAACATATTGAAATACGTAAAAAAAAGAAACATGTTAAAAAAAAAGGCAATGCAAGTAAACGCCGGTGCAAATTGGCTCAAGCGTTCTAATGTTATATCATCAGCGACTAGTTTAAACAAGAAAACGAAGATGATATTTCACTTCTTTGTTTTAACATGCTTACGTTGGTTACTGCTATAAATACTTGTGTTGCCTGCGTATAACAACAGTCATCCCAATCGCCTTATCTCAGTTTGAAGGTCTCCATCACTCTATCCGCAACTGAGAATCCAAAGAGGACTAAAAGAGCCACGAGAAGTACAAGAACCGGTATTTTGAGAATCTTCAAGCGCTGCGGCCTTTTCATCTATTTTTGTCTCACTAATAGTCTGAAGTATCATTTCCCTGGTTGAAACCTCAGACGGTTTCTCTAATTATGATATCAATCGAAGTTTTTTCTCCCTTGTCAAAATTCTCTGTTCTGAAACTTACCACGCAATATGTAAGAAAAGAGGAAGGAAAAAAAACTCATGGCATTGATAAACAACACAAATATTTTCACACTGAGGATTAGATCGCAAGTGGACGGAGGGCAAAAGATCAGTTTTTGACGTCGTATTGTCGGTCGTTAGCGTGAATTACGTCTGCAATCGCATTGCACAAAAAACTGTCATAAGTCCTCTGCTCTGTCGTCCCTGTTGGCCAAAAACGTTCGTGTTACTTGAATTTCGACATCTCTCACAATTTGTGAACGGTATTCACTAATACGCAGAAGCATGCAATGGTGAATTCTAGTCATTTATATCTGTTTGTTTGGCTGCGGTGAAAGTCATGTTTCCCCACTCTGTTACGTTATGATTGGGAGCAAGGAAGCTGTACATGCAAGCTAACGAAAGGACACTCAGGAAGAAATTTACGAGACAAAGAAGCAGTTAAACAAATTTATTGAAGACAGCTCTAACTCGGAGATGACGCAATTATTGCCATCATTTAAAAGTGTTAGTTTCCCCCGAAAAATAAGAAGTTCTTATATTTGCTATTTTATGCCTATGGGAAGTCAACAAACCACAATTTCTACCTGTCTTCATTTATCTTTAAGACCTTTACATAACCTAGACATGGCCGATGTGATTAACGTCAACGTGACGTACAACAAAACAAAGAGAATTATTTCCTATCAAAAAGACGGAGATGTTTAGGGATTTTGCCATCTTTTTCTACACGTCTTCTCTGATGTGTTACCAAGCAAGGTCACGCCAATACAAGTCAAGTTTTTACAGTGCGACGACAAAATGGGTCCGGAAGACTACCAGGAACTTCAAATAACGATAAACTTGATGATAAAAAGAGACTCCGAGCATTCATATGGAAAGAGGAAGAGATAGTGAAGGTAAAAATACCGAGGCGGTCTTCGATCGACATTGAAATTGTTAATGCAAAAATTCGTCAAATTGAAATTTTATTGTGATGTTTTTCCTATTTATATGTTTTTTTATCTTTTTACCAATGCGGGCTCAAAATCGAGAATTACTCATGTAAACATTTTACGTCCCAAAAATAGAAAGCCGAGTCATCGTGAAATCACAATCCGAAATACCATCAAAGCACTGACTTCAAAACGTTTGATTCGCACCAAATCTTCCGAAAATTGCTTTGGCAAGAATTTCATCGAATTATACTTTGCTTTATTCTCATCTATTCTCATCTTCATCATCATTGCATCATCACCATTATTATTATTATTATTATTATTATTATTATTATTATCATCATCATCATCGTCATCATAACCATCACCATTATTGCTCTAACTATCATTATAATAAGAATTACTCTTTTGCTTAAGGAGTAAGAAATCTGACGTCTAGTGAGTGGAAGGCAGATATAAATCATAAACATCATTACATACTATAGACCATGTCTGATATGTCACACATTGGGTTTGTCTGGGTTTTGACACTAGGCCTTATAAGCGCACCATTAATGGCCATATCCTTTCTTCGAAGGGATTATGTTGTCTTAAAGAAAACTCAAAAGTCCAAATCCCTTGGTATGCGGTTGAGGCAAGCATTTCTGGAGGGCTTATCGACTATTTGAGGACCCATCCAGTCAAAATAAACACCAGTTACCGACTGTGGAGCTTAGTTAGCAAGACCAACGATGGTATTATGATGAGAGATGCCAAAGATGGTTCTGTTACTTGCAATGGAAGTTTTAACATGGCCCGGAGTGATGATGGTAGGTAAAACTTTATTTACTACTTCAAAACATAAGTAAGTGAGCTTAATTTTAAACGCACCAATGTAAGAGACAGGATTTTCACCCATCCATCCGTTCGCTGTTCTTTCTTTCTTTCTTTCCTTTGTTTATAATCGTTCACTGTTACTGGCCACTAACTGATTGGTTGCAGTATTTCTTTGTTTTCTTCACAGTTTGGTCATTTCATCATTTGCCAATAATAAAAGGATTATTTTATTTAGGTCAACCTTTTTAGGATGTATGATTCAGAAGGCTAACGTCTTCCCGGTATTTTAGTGTAACTATATCTATCAGAGCTAGAGACTATAATACTACGTTACCCTGTTATACTCTCCCACCGACGCAGCACCAAAGTCTTTTGGGAAACATACCCCCTTTATTGATTTATCTGATACATTGTTACATTATTTCTAAATCAAAGTTGTTTTATATTCAGGAAGTGCCAGTGTCAGGAATTATTTCGGACGTAAGTGTCTTTGAGCCTTTGTACTTCTGGAGCTATACAATGTTCAGAAATTGTTTCTACAGCAACTGTTATCTGGGATGCGACCACACTGGAAAAACAACTTTGGTTGAAAATTGGGACCTCAGCTATCCGGACCCTCAAACACTCTTCATCCTTAATACATTTTAATTTGACAGGCCAAATGGCAAAGGAGAATGTTGGCTAGTTGCTTGAATTATTCTTACCTTCATCCTTATAAACTTTGTATAGCATTATATTTTATTTGGGTTTATTATTATCAGGCTAATGCTTACTATGATTCGTTTTCAAAGATAATAATTAATGCGATCATTAATCTTTCGTGGGATGATACTATAGACTATTTGCTACAATCTTAGTCAGCGTGCAAGTCTCTTTCCAATTGGATAGCTGAAAGCATTACTTGCATTTCAAGGATGATTTCAGTATGGATTGCTGAAGAAAAGAAGCTCGATTTTCCAAATATAAACAAACTTAGGTGTAGATTTTTTTAGCCGGTAACTTTATTTCATGAAATCTTACTTACAACACGTAAATGTCGTATTGCAAACTAGCATTGCGCAAATTTCTTAACAAAATAATTACAGGAAAACAGCAAATCTTTTGTCTCTTGAAATTTGCGTTGATCGTTTCACGGTTGGTTTTTTTTGTTTCTCTTTCCCTCAGTATTATCATTTACATTTCGCGTCATGTCATGTTTCTGGAACTTCTTTTAAGTTGTTTGAATTGTATTTTTGCAATTTTTTCTGCTATCGTGAAATCAAAATCCAGCAAAACATTATGAAATAAGGTAGCCGAAGTTCAACATTCACTATTTTACCATGTTTTTTTCTCTGAGCTTCTTACATGTAGATTTACCGTTTTTTTTTTCTTGTCCTATAAAGCTGATTTTTGTCGCGCCTATGGTGATTATAAGATCCACCAAAGTATGTCTAAAAAAAATTGACCTTTGTAGTTTGCTATCATAAGATAAAAAAACATTCAATGCTGGAAAATATTTTAAGTTATCTCTAGCAAAGCTTTCTTGGAATTTCATGCAAAAGAAGTTAAGTTAGGATTTTTACGAAATTATTAATTAAAAGGTCATGCATTAGTAAAAAACAACCACCCAGACAACAACAACAACTCAACAAATTTAAACAAAACAATAGCATGCGTTAGCTTCTTTAATCTCTCTCTCACCCTTTTCCTCTTCAGCCTTCAGTCTGCGTCCAGACACTAAGCAAATAATTGAACCCTTTCCTTGCCGAAAACATCACGGATTATATCCATTACACGTAAAATGGCTGCAGAAAATTGTTAAAACAAGCAACAGACCAAGAGAACTGCATCGATAATTTCCTTGGTATCTTACTTCAGTTTGATATGAACCCTTAACACTCACGTTTTAGCGTCACCGTATATATAGACTGTAAAAATTGGTTTTGTTTTCTGCATCGGAAAATAAGAACTAAGCTTTGGCATACCTTCCTGGATGAGAATATCCGTATTGGCATACTTATCATGAACACTGACAAATGCACTAAGACACAAGATGAAAAACAAAATGATGAAGAAAAAATTAAATGAATAGAAATAATAATAATGATAATAATGATTATTGACGTGCGTGACTGATGCCCTGGGTGCATGGTATGCGCCTGGCTGATGCACAAAAAGAACATTAGCAAAGACTCTGATAGAAGAGATAATAATGATAATAGCAACAACAATAATAATAATAATAATGATGATAATAATAATAGTAATGATAATAGTAATAACTAGCTACGCGCACGTTCACCGCGAAGCCTATTTTAATTGATTAATTCCTTGCAAGGCTTCACGTAGAAAACTAGATGTGAAATGCTGAACAAATTTGCCTTTGCCAACAGCGAGAAATTTGTTTGGTTGTTTGGTAATTTGTTTGTTTGTCTTTCTCTTTTCTCTGTCTACTAACGTGTTTCCTCGTACTTCAGTCTAATTAATTATTAAGTAAGTAATTATCAAATTGAGATTAATAAGAAACTTACCAAGGAGCTACGCCAGGAAAAAAAAACAGTATCAGAGTTTCTTTAGAAACTTACCCCTTTATTCATTTGAGATTAATAAAGTTCGATAAACTAATTCATCACATAGACTACGGTGTTAACCCTATCAACCCTTGGAGTGACTTGCATCAAATTCTCCTTACACCATCACCTCGGAATCATATATCAGGATCATGAGAATAAAGGAAATGATCACCAACCAAAGCAGCTCTTGATTGTTAAACAAATTCTCCTTGTCAGCACCTTTAGAAATGTATAGAGAACAGTATGGAGAATATGCATATTGATATTACGATGTAAAGAGTTACACAAGGATTTATTGCCCTGGGAAAAGTCGCAACAACACACGCGAAAAAAATAATACGATAATTTTTTTACGTGTCTTTGATATAGCCAATCAGCTACTGGCGTGTAATCCTCCTTTCGCGCCACTCCGTCATGTTGCTAAATGAATGGGAAAGCCTTCGCTATTCTCAATCCAAGGTCTTTTTTTGAAATAATCTTGGATTATGGCCGCTAAATGACCGGTCATTATTTACGTAGTAGATAGGGAGAGGGGTAGGGATAAAAGAAGTGGGGGTGGGGGGTGGGGGTTAAGGCTATTCAGATTGGCAAGAAAGGGGACTGACAAATTTTTTATAAATAAGTTGAGGGGGGCATCAGCAAGTTGAGGTACAGTTTTAGAGTGGTCCATCGCCCAAGGTGGGTAAAGCAGTTAAATAGTAGATTGTAGATAATATCTGTGAGTAATGTGAAATTATACATTTTGTGTTAATTCTACCGCTTTTGGGGTTTAAACACCACTCAGTGATCTACATCTTAGTGATTTTTGATGACTGTATATTTTTAAAACCATTTATGGTGTGATTTAGTTGTTTAATTTTAAATAATAAAGAGTCCAGACCCATTGGTTTTATTGTGCTTTATTTGACAGAAAGCTTGTAACTTCTATAACCCAAGAAGTAATTAAACATGATATAACAACAAGAAAGTAGTCCTGTTACAATTGCCAGAAAATCGTTGGAAAAGAATAAATTCTGCTTGGTTGTTATATATATTTTTGTTCACCATGAAGACATAATTTGTAACTATCTAGTAATTTTCCAAAGTCAAGAAATAATTTTCCATATTTAACAAAACTTCATTCTCAATAATTTAATAATACTGGTATGTTCAAAAGACATGAAGAATTTGACGACAAACTGGTCACTAAATCTTCACGATACGCCGATTTTGTAATTTAGTAGGTTTGTTCCATTGTCATGCAAAGTAATCATCTGATGCTTGTATGTGACATGAATTATATTAATTACAAGGCATGTTAGACAAACCGGTCACTAAGTCTCCACGATACGCCGATTTTGTAATTTAGTAGGCCAGTTCCGTTTACATGCAAAATAATCACTTAATAGTTGTATGTGACATGAATTATAATAATTACAAGGCATGTAAGACAAATCGGTCACTAAATCTTCTCGATACGCCGATTTTGTAAGTTAGTAGGCTAATTCCGTTGTTATGCAAAGTAATCATCTTAGGCTTGTATGTGACATGAATTATATTAATTACAAGGCATGTAAGAGGAAATATGATCTGACAGGGGGGGAGTCATCACGTAGATATTGAATATTGAATTAAGAAGGGAAGGGGGGTTACTTGCTATTTGCAGAAATTTTAATCCGCCAACATATCTCTCCCCTCTCTCTCTCTCTCTTCCCCCGTTCCTCTACATTAACTAATGACCAGTCCCTAAAACACTAAAACACTGAAAAATTATTATAGCTTTCAAACAATGACGCTTAAAAATTTAAAATTTTTTAAAAGCCATATGCAACCCTTTCGATTTTTTTTTTATAGTTAAGCTGTGAAAATATTAAAAGCAGGGAGACCTTTGCCTCTTGCGGCCATTTTTCTTTATTGTGTGATGCCATTTGTCGTCTCGCTCTTTTAAAGTTAGCGCCATTGCACCCGTAAATATCCCGGATGTGCCACACACTTCTGCGCGATGTTGAGCCTTATCGTCGACGCACTTTTCGACTTTTTCCGCCCAAGGATTTAAGAGTCGAATAGGACTTAACAAGAATAATTCGCTAAATAGAGAATAATACATGGGTGCGCGTAGGTATGGAATTTCTCTTCGAGTGTTCAACTCGACAGCTCACGAGTGAGCGCAGCGAAATTCCTAATCTACAAGCATGCATGTATTATTCTCTATTCAGCGAATTTCTCAAACTAAGATTCTGGTAAATCATATGCAAGTTGAATTGCATTTTTTTCTTTCCGTCATATTAAATATCCGACTATGCCCGATGTATTTTTTTTACTATTCTGTGCAGGATTTAAATTATTGCATCAACAGCTTGCTATTAAGAATAACCAATTAATTTTCTTTCGTTTTTATAACCTGTCAACACTCCTTCAAACTCATTATGGCTCTGTAAACCGACGAGATAAAAATATATATTCCCAAATAACTTGACATACGTACATGCGTTATGGTTCATATCAAGACAATCCAAGCTAATACCGGGGCTTATTTTAGTTTTGGCACAAGTCTACTGCGCTGACCATCCCAGAAAATGGCAGGCGACGTAAAAATCAATTTGTTTGAACATGACGTTTAATTTACAGTGAGAATTAAATGGTGTAAATTTGCCCAAAGAATTTAAGTCTCGAATAGGACAGAACATAAATAAGTTCGTGTGCGTTTTTTGTTCCTATACAAGCTAATACAAGGGCTTATTTTAGTTTTGGAATTAGTCCATTGCGCTAACCATTCTAGAAAATGACAGGAAAAGTAAAAAGCAATTTGTTAGAACAAGACGTATAATCACAGTGAGAATTGAATGGTGGAAATTTGCCCAAAGGATTGAAGTCTCGAACAGGACTTAACAAGAATAAGTTCGTGTGCTTTTTTTCCTTCTTTTTTTACGCGTGTTGAAAAGAATAATATCTCAATTAGAAAGAATAATATATATAGAAGGACCGAAGACCCATGCAACAATTCTTTTACTTCTAACGTGACCCTAAGTTACGTTTGGCAAAAGCAAAAGCAATCCAACAGGCACGAAAAAATCATTAAAATTTAATTGAACTTTCCTATTTTAGACATTGTTATCA